TATTTCTTCATTTGAGAAGTCCCTCTTTAGTTCCCTTGCCCATTTAGTAATTGGTTTGTTAGGTTTGGGAGGGATTAGTTTCTTGAGTTCCCTGTATATAAAAAAAAATTTTTTTTGGTCATGGGGCTTGAATCAGGGCCTGGACTCTGTCCCAGAGCTGCTTTTTGCTCAAGGCTAGCACTCTACCACTTGAGCCACAGCTCTACCTCCAGCTCTTTTGGTAGCTAATTGGATATCAGAGTCTCACAGACTTGCTTGCCTGCTCTGGCTGGCTTTGAACCCCAGTCCTCAGATCTCAGTCTACTGAGTAGCTGGGATTACAGATGTGAGCCACTGGAGCCCAGCTATAATTTTTTATTGATAAACAAACTTGAAAGAAAATTTCAGGGGTGATAACCCAGTGTGGATGGAGGTAATTCCCAAGAAATTCATGAACAGTTACAGATTGAACTGGATTTTGTAGACAAAGTCAGACATGAGAAGATGTAGAAATGAGGAAAACTTGTTCAATGTTTCCATTGAAAACTGCCATTTTTATATGTGGCAGAGTTCTTGTGCTACTCTGTATTTTACTGGTTTTTAAGTAAATAAGAGTCTTGTAACCCATTTTATGTTTTCTTTAATAGTAAAAGCATCGAACATTTTCCTGTTCCATATGCTCTCATTATTTATATTCATGAGTTTAGGGCTAATTCTGGTCTCTAAAATACAGAGTTGCTACTGTTGTCTTACGTAAATTTAAAATTGTCTTACTGCTACTAATTTATTAATGGTTTAAAATAGAAATTTTCTTTTTATTTCATGAGACTGTTTTTGAAACCTGAGAATCCTGGTGAACAATTCAGAACAATTTGAAGGACTAATTATGAGGATAACTTGTGAATACTTTCAATAAGCTTATTTTAAAATGTCCTAGGAACATTGCTAGATATCTGCATGTTAGTAATAGGTTTAGTCATAGAAATTTCCATAGTTGATCAAGTGAGGAGAAATTTCCTATGACATTTGATGACATTTGCTAAAAAATCATAGCTGGACTCCAGTGGCTCATGTCTGTAATCTTAGCTCCTCAAGAGGAGCTAGGATTGTGGAATCCTAGCTAGGATTGTGGTTCAAAGCCACCCTGGGCAGGCCAGTCTGTGAGACTCACCTCCACTTAACTACCAAAAGAGCTGTGGTGGTAGCACTGTTGTTCAAGTGGTAGAGTGCTACCTTGAGCAAAAACAGCTGTGGGACAGAGCCCAGGAGAAGGGGTGGAGAAGAGAATGCAATCAAAAATTTAGTGTATGTCCTATAAAAGTAAGAAAAATAAGGGAAAAGAGGGATAGAAGAGAATGTTGAAAGGGGCGACATTGATCAAGATGCATTGTATTTACAAGCTTTTATTCAATGGCAACTCCTTTGTCCAACTACTTAAAGATAACTAAAAAAAAATTACTCATGAATAAGCTTTTCATGTTCTCCTGTACATCAGTTTGTTGAGTATTTGAATACCCTGATTTTATCATTCTCCCCTCTTAGCAACAAGGATACTTCCTGATAAGTAGCATGAAATTAGTTGTTCTGTTATTAGTCCTTATTAGTTTTTTCATCTTGGAATTAACACAATAACATAATATTTTTATAAATTGTCCTCCTGAAAATTAATTAGTAAAGCATTTCCTTCTTGAAATTTGCTTGTTTTATCTGATTTTCCTTCTCAGTTATTCACTGTAACTTTCATTTAACATGAAGCAACCTGAAACTCATGTATTATGTTGCAGGTGGTTTGACATTGGGTGTTTGGTGGTTGAAGACCCTGTGCATGGTATTCGTCTGGAAACTTTTACTCAAGCCACACCAGTGCCTTTGGAGTTTGTGCAGCAGGTTAGTCTCCTCCTTTGCACCTGCATTATGTTCCAGGGAAGCCTGCAGTATTCTCAGTAAAAGTTGTGTTAGGATTTTTGTTAAGAATATATTCCCGATTTTGTGTGGCCCTTTTCTCATTTGGCCTTTTCTTTGCTTCCTTGAATGTTTCAGTTCTTCTTTGTTTTTGTTTTCCAGATTTCTTTGGGCAAATAATATACTACATGGGTAATTGTTACTTTCTTCGTTTTTTTTTTAGTTGTTGTTGTTAGGATTATATTCCCCCCTCGAGGTCAGAAGATTTGCCTTTTCTGCCTGTTTTCAGTACACTTTTCATATACTTTCCCCTTCATCTCCTGTCTTTATTTCCATTGGAACCCTCTCTTACTTCCCTTTTTGTGTCATCTGATCATCCTTTTTAGTTGTTCATCTTCAGAACAAGCCATTATTTGAAATTTGAACAATAGGTACACATCTTTAGATTTGTTGACTTAAAGAGAAAGCTAGTGTACAGTTCCAAAAATGTAATTAAAAACAATGATTCTTATCCCTCTATTTTTATATAAAATTTTCTTTAGTTCTCTAGTAAAATATATCTACATAATTTGGACTATTATTTTATATATATATATATATATATATATATACTTGTACTGTATATATGTATACATATATATATATATATATACACACATATATAAACTTGCTGAAATCTTTGTAGTAACATTATTTGTGACTTATGGATTTAAATAATCTGACAAAGCACTTGTGTTTTGTCGTCCCTATAGTTACATATAAATTGGCATATGTGTTCATAAAATTGCTGAAAGCATCCAAGTGGCCCTTTTAAGGTTTGCAGTCTAGAAAATGTATTACAATTAATGCTTATATTTTGAACTTTACTGAAACTTATATTGTAATTTCCTCTTAGAAGTTCAAAAAATCTTTATAGATGTTAACATTAGATTCACTCAATGAGAAAATGATTAAAAGATTGTAATTAAATACTATTCATATGGTTCATTTTATCTGTTTCTTGTAAAACAGATAAAATGGTAGATTTTTCTGGGAAAATATGGATTTTTATCATTGATTCAAATATTAAGATGAATCAGTCAAAATACTGTAAATTTTCTATGATGTTAGCTAATTACCCAGGAAACATTACAGTGAAGAACTCCCATCTAGTCAAAAAAAAAAGAAAACCATTGTGTTCTAATCGTGCATAAGTGCGATCTACAAGGCATTCAGTGGAAACTTGGTTCTCATGGTGTATAAGGTACCAAAAATAGAGGTAGACAGTTTTTCAATTAATTCCATGAGGTTGTGTCTCTTCACACTAGAACTATTTCAGTCTATATTAGGAACTAAGTGTAAAAATCATGGGTGAAATTAATAAAGTTCAGAAATACACTAGAAGAGCATTAATATCCTTACCAAGTAGATTTGGCTCAAGAAGCAGAGTGGATCACCAGTAGTAAACCAGATATGTGACTCAGCATATTGACATTAAAGAAATATAAAGAATTTCAGTAGAGTTGAGGGCATTTGCTAGAAATACTATGCAATAGTATAAAATAATCATAGCTAATTTGGTTTAGAAGTATATGCAAATCATAGCTAATTTGGTTTAGAAGTATACGCACATATGTATGGGCTAGGTAATCCAAGTGCCCCTTAGATAACTTGTGATATGAGGGTACTCCTGTCACTGCCATTGTTAATATTGCTGTAGATTAGGGGTCAGTGCACAGTGGCCCACAGCCAAATCGACTACCCTACTACCTGTTTTTGTAAGTAAGCTTAATTGGGATATAGCTGCCATTCTGCATACATTTATAATTAATAGTAGCAACTGTGCTGCAATAATGTAATTGATTAGTTGTAGTAAAGATCAACACCTAAACCTAACGTATTTACTCTTTAGCCTTTTTCCAAAAAGTTTACTCACCCCTGTGCTTGGTGTCTGACAATTGCAGAGGGATAATTTGTATTTGATTTTCAGAGCCATATATTGGTAAGAAACAGACATGATATTCAAGGAACCAAATGTGTTTTTATATATATTAATACCTAAGGGTATCTTGCAAAGTACATGTCAAGAACAGCACATTGAATACGATCCCAGTGATAGCAGGGAGATGTGTATGCTCTGAAATATCTACAAATGAGAAGGAAAATGCCCGGAAAGATGCACATTGAATCATTAATAGGATTACTTGAATAGTGTTACTCAAAGATTATCATTTGGTTTCTTTTTTTGTTGGTGGTGGTTGTAGAGCCTGGGCCCTGTCCCTGATCTCTTTTGCTCAAGGCTAGGGCTCTATTATTTTTACCACAGCTAATTTTTGAGTGGTTAATTGGAGATAATAGAGTCTCACAAGGACTTAGCCTCATGAGTTAGCTAGGATTGCAGGTGTAAGCCACCGACGCCCAGGACTTGCTTTCTTTTTTTAAAATTTTTTTTTAATGTTTTTGTTTCGTTTTTTTTTCCCACATGTGGTTTCAAAGTTGAAAAGATAAAGAATTAAGTACATTGAAATACCCACCTTTTATTTTTATCTATTCATTTTTTCCCCATGTTTCTTTTATGTTTTATATCTCTACTGCTTTGCTGTTGGGATTTAATAATTTAATAGAATAGAAATTAGTCCTTTGAGAAATCAAATTATCATTAGAATGTATAGTAGTGAAAATCTAGAACACAATTTTGTGTGATTTTTTTCCTTATTAAATAAAGATGATTCCTCCTTTCTCAATAAAAACTCAGGTCCTCTGGATTTTTAAAGGTAATTTTTTGTTATCTGTAAGTAGTTGTACAGAGGAGTTGCATTTGCCAAAGCAGTTTATGCATACAATATATCCTGATCAGTGTCACCCCATTCTTGGCCTAGCATCATAACTGTTACCTGATAATTTGATTTAAAAAACAGCCTCTCAGGCTCCGCCCAAGTTTTGGAATCAGGTGGTTCATTTTAACAGGCCTTGCAAGGGCTTGGTGAGCATGTAGCAGAGCGAGAAGCATTTTCATTTCAGTCCAAAGACCTTAGATAGCTGTCTGGTTTTTCTTTGAAGTATAATGATAATTTTAGCACTAACCTATTAACAAACTTGAAATGACTCTAAATATGAAACTAGAATGAAGCTTTCTGACTTAGCTCTGAGTAGATGGCTGTTAAAGCCTTGAACATCTGTAAAGTTCTGTTCTCAGTCCTCAGGAGCGTACGCGCAGACGCCACCACCACCACCAACAGAATGACATTATGTTTTTATTTTTAGCAGAGTAGACATACAACATTACTTTGGCTCTTTTGAAGCAGCAGAGTGGTACTTCCCAGGGTTGTCACAATCTATGTTAAAAGTAACCAGAGTCAAGATTTTTGAGAGGTTAGGGCTGGCGAGGTGGCTCAGTGGTAGAGCGCTTGCCTTGCATGCCGGAGGCCCTGGGTTTGATTCCTTAGCACCACATAAGCAAAAAGAAAAAAAGCCGGAAATGGCACTGTGGCTCAAGCAGAAGAGCTGAGGGACAGCGCCTAGGCCCAGAGTTCAGGCCCCACGACTGGACCCAAAAAAAAAAAAAAGATTTTGAGAGGTTATTTATAACAGAGTTTGTGCTTATAAGTAAGTATTATAAGTAACATGGATTTATGTTTTCCATAGGCTCAAAGTCTCACTCCCCAGGACTATAATCTAAGGTGGTCAGGCCTTTTGGTGACAGTGGGCGAAGTCCTGGAGAAGAGTTTGGTAAATGTCAGCCGGACTGATTGGCACTTGGCGTTCACTGGCATGTCTCGCCGACAGATGATCTACAGTGCAGCCAAAGCCATCGCTGGCATGTACAAGCAGCGCCTACCACCCAGAACCGCCTGAGAGATGGCCTCATTGACGGCCAAGACTGCCCTTGCTTTCAGCTTCATGTAAAGAAGATATGTTATCTTCCTCAGCTAAACAGCTTCAGTGAATCTGGAAAGCTTTAGAGGTTTCCCGTAGGCTGCATTATTATTATTTTTTTCTGTAAAGGTTTGGTGTCATTCCTTCAGAGAAAAAAAGAGATCCTTTTTACAATCATAATTTTACATAGTTCTTCAAAAATATGCAGGTATATTTATGACACATTTTAATATACTGGATTTATTAAATGGAACTTGCTAAGTAAACATTTAATTTAATGATGCATACTAGATTATTTTGCTGAACAGTATGCTCAAGAATTGACCGTAAGACACCTACCTGTAGACATGTACATTTCTGTGTGCCTTTTACACAGTGAGCCAAAATGACAAAAATCAATCATTTCTCTCTGGTCATCATCATGTGCTTGTATTACCTAGAAAAGTATACCTGTTCCTTTTGTAAAAATAATTTTTCTAGTTTACAGATTTCTACTGCAAACATTGGAGTTAGACATTATTTTTCTCGTTGCCGTGTCACAAAGGATAAATAGTCCCGTGTATTTTAGATCAGAAGTATTCATGTTATTTTTGTATAACACTATTCAGTACTTCCAAGAATAAACTCCCAGCCGCTTCCACTCATGTTCTCCAAAGAGCAGAAGAGAAGAGGGTCACCTTGTTGAGGGGTTACCTTGTTGAGGGGTCACCTTGTTGCTGTGCCTCTTTAGTTAGGATTGCTTTTAAGTTTGACTCAAGATACCACTTTTCTACCTTTGTGCTGTTCTGTATTTTTTATGGATGTTTTTCAAAGAAACTTTTATATTGAATCTGGTTTATTTGATCTATTATGTTTGTACTGAATGATAGCTATTTCTTCCCTCAAATAATATATTTTACCACTTTTGGACTTAATTTGGACTCAAAATTAATTAAATGTTCTTTCTTATACAGTTGAGCTCTATGAAAATTCAAATGACTTTCTGAAAATAATTTCATATCTAAATATAATTTAATTTTTATTTACTCTCCTCTACAGTTATATAGAGGTAAACAAATTAGCACATTCTCTGGCAGTTTTATAAAAGCATTAAAGCTCTTATCCTGGGCTGTCTTGACGTGTAAGGTTTGCTTTGTATTAGTGTTTTTTCAAGTAATTATTTCATTTATGCTAGTTTTAACCAAGAATGAAAAGAATTAAATGCTTCCAAGCACTGTATCCCAATTGTTTGGTGGCATTCAGACTCCTGTCATTGGAAGTACTGGGAAAAAGCTGCGTCCAGTTGCTATGTTGTCCTTTGTCCTGGGATACTAGCGCTAGATGTTTTTATTCCTTCTTATGTGTTAAGAAAGCGGAATCCTCTTCTCCCATTCACCTCTGTCTTTTGCTTTTAAAAGCTATCAGGGCATTGGCCAGATGCAGAAATTCAGACTGAGATCAAGAAGAATGCCCACTTTTACAGGGAGATTTTATAGATTCTTTTTTGTTTGACCAAGTCTTCAGTATCTTACTTGACTTTTGTGCAGGTTTTTCTCACAGAGCCACAGTGAACATTATCTCTCACCGAGTGATGCTTTTCTTTAAATCCCCACAGAGCGGTGGCAGAGCCCTGCCATGGCTTGGTTGAAGTGGGTATTTTCCTGCCTGCAGTAACTGTCTAACCTCTGCTCTTTGGAGCAGCATATGTGGGAAAGTGAGATGCTTGATCTAATCTGGCCTGATTTCTTTTTTGGTCCAAGATTCTCTTTGAAAGACCTCAGAGCTTGACTGACTCCACACTTAGCTTTCCTAACCTTTCATTTGGTCATCCTGAGATTCCTCTATTATACCAGGAACAGGAAATACAATGTAGTCTTACACCAGGGTGACTTAGCCAGACAGTCTTGGTGATGGTATTTAAACATTGAGTATATCCAGTTACTGAGCATATCTTCAGTCCATGGTCTCCCTTACCAGCCCTCTGGAACTCCTCTGTCCTCTCTGCTCATTTCCATGTCATTCTCATACTGGTATCTCCCTCTCTCTTCCTCTCTCTCTCTCTCTCTCTCTTTCTCTCTCTCTCTCTCCCCCCCCCCATATGTTGTTTTGGCAGGGGGTATAGATGGATGGCTGTCATTTTGCTCTTGTTCTTTCTCAAGATATTTAGGGAAACTTGTCTTAAACCCAGTTACCATGTTCTAGTGGTTTTGCGAAATGAAGAGCTATAAATGATTGCATTTTACATTATGTAAATTTTATGCCCAATCACTGAATTTTAAGACTGTAAACATAATTAGTATGGGAAAAACTCTCAGGAAAAAATGGAAGAAAAGTGATAAAGCATCAGCTTCAGATGATCAGTTTTAAGAATCCTTATAGTCACTTTTTTGTTGTTGGTTGTTACAGGGCTGGGTTTTGAACCCAAGGTGTCATACATGCCAAGGACAATGCTATAGGACTAAGCCCTACCCTTGCCCCTTGTTAAGTTTCCGGCAGTTCTGAAGCTTCTCAGGCTTGAGAAGTTATGAAAAGCTGATGGTTTACTCTTGTGATTCTCTTGTCATCTTGCCTTCTCATTCTTTGTCAGTTGCTTGGTAGAAACAAAGATCGTATGATAGTGAGTAGAAGTATAAAAAGGTGCAGATGACCATGTTTAATGTGTATTATTCACTTATGCAAAGTATCAATACTCAGGGTCAACTGAACTACTTAACATGTTCAATTTACTCTGTTTCTTGGCTAGAAACAGTTCTAAATAGGACTTTGTGATTTGTGATGCCAAATTGATAACTTGCTGTGTTTTCAAAGTCGTTGGGTTGTATAAATTATTAAGAAATGGGGATATTTACTCCCAGGATATGGTATTCATTTAGTGATATTATGCAGAATGACATATTGAATAGTCAGTTTTGTAAGTATGTAAATATGTCATAAATAAACAATACTTTGGCTATTTCCTAATGCTTTATAGTGATTTTCAAATACTAACTTTATTAATAATGTATTACAAAGACCCATATTCCTTTTTTGTCGTAGTTGGTTTAGTGACTGCCAAGAGTTCTTGTAGAATAGAAATATAGCATACCATTTTCTATGGGAATTGTAACATTCAGATATACTAGCGGTGCTAACAGCAAAGTCAGAGAACTCAGGGTGTTAGGAGATACAGGGATGGGCAGGAAGCAGAGGCCTGTTCATGAGCCCTCTGTAGTGTTGCCTCTAATTTATACTCCTGACCTCCATAAATAGCCCTTTTTTCCCCTTAAGAAATCATTATTTTAGGGTATTTTTAGGTTCACAGTAAAATAGAGAAGGGTAAGAGATTATTTTTTCCCTTTGTTGCTTGTCCCCACAAATACACACCATTACCCATTATCAACCCCACCCAACAACATCGTTCCCTTGTTACAATTGACGAGCATCATTGGCACTCACAGTCACCCAGAGTCAGTAGTGTGAGATTCACCTTAGAGGTTGTGTAGTACATGGGTTTGTGTGCATGTCAAATGGCACATTCATCATTACAATATCATGGGGTATTTTCAATGCCCTGAAAATTTCTTCCCTGTTCAAGCCCACTCAAAGCCCAACTCTCTAGCAACTGGTAATCCTTTACTTTCCAGAGTGGCTTCTGCTTAGTGACTTTGCATAGCTGGATGGTTCATGTCTCATAGCACAAATGGATATATTGTGCGCATATAATACATTCCTATTTACCTCCTGATGGACATCATGGTTGATTCTACATTTTGGCAATTATGAATAAATAAAGCTGCCTTAAATCTCAGCATGTAGGACTTTGTGTGGACTGGTTTGAACTCTTCAGGCAAATAACAGGTGGATTACTAGATGTTAGACCTAAGAGTTATGGTTTGTTTCACTGAAAAAAATCTGCTAACCTATCTTCCAAAATGGCTATGTTCTTACAAAAGAAAAAGGTAATTTTTTAACTGCATTTATTATCCTGAGTGCTGTCCTTAGGCAGAAAAGCTCAAGGACAGTATCCAGACCAGGCCCCAAATTCAAACTTCAGGGTAGCACACACGCACAAAGAGGTAAAATAAAATTGGCAAGACAAACAAGAAGTTTCAAAATTTTACAGATGACAGTCCTCTAAATTCTTAAAGGAACTCATTTTGAGATTTAAAAGCAAGTTGTGCTTACAACTGTGATGCTAGCTACCCAGGCTGAGATTTAAGGACTGAGGTTAGAAAGCAGCCCATATGCAGAAAAGTACAAGAAACTCTAGTTAACCAGCAAAAAAGCCAGACTGGAGACATGGCCCAACCCATGAGCAAATAGAGTAAGTTAAAAGCCACCAGTGCTGAACTAGGCTTATACCTATAATCCTAGCTACTCAGGAAACAGATCTAAGGATCAAGGGTCAAAGCTAGCCTGGGCAGAAATGTCTGTGAGACTACAATAAACTACTCAGAAAAAGTCAGAAGTGCTGCTGTAGCTCAAGTGGTAGAGTGCTAGCCTTGAGCACAAAGAGGCTTAGGGACAGCGCCTAGGCCTTGAGTTCAAGCCCCAGAACCTGCAACAGCAAAAATTAAAATTCAGGGTACTGAGCTCAAGCCTTGGAGCAGGCATAAAAACAACAACAACAACAAAGGAAAGAGGAACTAACCTTTGTGAAGTATGTCCTTACGTTTGATACCTGGACACACTCAAACACTATTAAAACGAATAGCTTCCTCCCCAGATCTGAAATCAGCCCTCTACCTCCTCTCTCAGGTAACCACTCCTGAATTCTAATATTAGAGAGAATTGGCCACTCTGGAATTTTACATCAGTACATATTCTTTTGTCTCTGACTTAACATTGTATTTGTGTAAATCGTGTGTTCAGTATAGCAGGAGGTGTTACCTGCTTGTGTAATGTTAGATCGTCTGAATTGATTCATCTTCCATTGCTGGGTATTTGGGCTGTTTTTAGCATCTTTGGCTGTAATAAAATGGAACTATGGATATCTTGTACAATTCTTTTAATATACATATAGCCTTTTCTGTTGCAGCTATAGATAATTATTACCAGAATTTCTGAGCTGTAAGGTTTGTGTGTGTTCAATTTCAGTAGGTATTGTTAAAATGTCCTTGTGATTATACCTGAATTTGCCCTCCCAACCATCAGTATGCCCTACGTCTTTGTCAACTATTAGCATTGTTAAGTCTCTTTTAATCTTAATTTGGTTTTGATTTGCCTTATTTTTATGATAATAAAGTTGAGCAACTTTATGATAATAAGGTTGAGCAACTTTTTATGTATGTGCTATCCTCCTTTGTGAGGTATAAGTCTGTTATCCATGTGTCATTTGAGGTTATTACTGCTTTTACTGTAGTGAAATACACATCCTGCGGTTCTGAGTCTGTTGGACATCTCCTCGCACTGTGCTGTGTGCCCATAGATGTGTGAAAGGCAGTCTTCATGCTAGCCAGCTGCAGCATGATCTTAGACGAGTGGAAGAACTCCCTGGGCTTTAACCATAGGACTTGTCATTCTTTTTTTTTATTTAATTTTATTTTATTTGTGAACATACTGTACAGAGGGGTTACAATTACATGGGCAGGATAATGCGTACATTTC